TTTTCCATTACAGCGGCGTTACAAATGCGCTGGTACAGCGCTCTCACGACTAACACGCAAAGAACGGCAACGACGACTCACGCCAGGACGAACGTCCCGAACGAGTCACACCACGAGGCGCCCGAACGACTCACACACAAGGAAGGCCCCGCACAACTCCCACCAGGACGAAAAGGCCCGAACGACTCACACCACGATGAGCCCCAACGACTCACACGCAAGGAGGAGCCCGAACGACTCACACCAGGACGTGGAGGCCGAACGACTCACACCACAAGGAGCCCGAACGAGTCCCACACAAGGAAGGGCCCGAACGACGCGCACCAGGAGAGGAGGCCCGAACGACTCACACCACGAGGGGACGGAACAACTCACGCACAAGAAGGGGCCCGAACAACTCACACCAGGACGAAAGGCCCAGACGACTCACACCACGAGGAGCCCGACCGACTCAGAGCACGACGAGAAGCCCGAACGACTCACTGCAGGACGATCCCGAACGACTCACACACACGGATAGGCCCGAACGACTCCCACTAGGCCGAGAAGCCCGAACTTCTCACGCCACGAAGGGCCCGATGGACTCACACACAAGGAAGAGCCCGAACGACTGTCACCAGGACGACGGGCCTGGACGACGGACGCCACGAGGAGCTTGAACGACTCACACACAAGGAAGGGCCCGAACGACTCACAGCAGGACGAAGAGCCCGAACGACTCACACCAGGAAGATCCCAAATGTGTATCATACCACGAAACGCGCCGACGACTCACACACAAGGAGAGGCCCGAACGACTCACACCAGGACGAGGCGCCCGAACTTGTCATACCCCGAAGAGCCCGAACGACTCCCACACAAGGAAGGGCGCCAACGACTCACGCCAAGACGAACGGCCCCAAGGACGCACAGAAAACTCCAGAACAATAACACACAAACGAACGGCCCGAACGACTCCTAGAACGCCCCCCAGAACAACAAGGGACCCGGACGAGGGAGAGTGGGCCCGCCCTTCAGGCCAAACGTGGGAAATCGTCGGGACCATCGTCGAGAAAAGGCGAACGCGGCGGCAGCCAAGACGGCCGCCCGGAGCGAGAGGCAGGGACGTCGTCGTCGTCGTCGTCGTCATCGTCGTCGTCGTGGACTACTGACTCTAACACAAAACTTAAGAGAAGACCGCACACGGTTGAACATGACACAACGCAATCAACACAACATGACATTTCTGAAACGTGCCACTCAAGAATCGCCAACGGACTGTAGTGTCCATTGCCAGCCGTTCAACACTTAGGAACCCTGTGATAACCCTGGAATATATCTGAAGCTGGACCAACCACAACCTTGTATAGTACTATACCCTGAAAATCGAGGAAGCGTGCACCGCGGTGGCAAGCTAGACCGCAGGCCCCTGGATACCCTGAGACATTTACGCCACAGGCCACTACATAGACTGTGGCGGGATAGGCCGACACTCATGTTGATAGCCTCGAGCTCTAAAATACCTGCACGCCCCCTCAGCACACTTAACTCCTGCAAGACTTCCGAGCCTTCTACCTGCTGTACTTCTTCTCCGTTTTTCCATAAGACAAGGCGGTACAATTCAGCCACCACGCTGCGCAACGCTCGACGCGTCAACTGCACACGAGCGCGGCATACGAAACTTGGAACTTCGACTCCCAGGCCTCGACGTGGGCCCGATCGACGTCAAAAGGAAACATGGCGGGCCCCCTTCACTCCCTTGGGAAAAGGAGGGGAACAACGTTCATCTTCTGTGTATTCATTGCTGTGCCTTCTTAGTGTGTGTGTACGTATTTGATTTGTGAATGCTTCTGTTTTGAATGTATGCGCGTATATGTATGGAGGGGAATCAATGCCCTGATGTCGCAATAAGGATGGATCGTGCCGACAAAATCTGAGACGTCTCGCGATGTCCGCCGTGCCTGCATGTCACCGAGCGCTAGCCGCAACGACGTCCTGCTGACACGAAAGCGGGGCGAATGGAGAAGGATACGACATGCATCATAACCAAAAGTGGCAAGCCCGTAGCCGCGATGGGCTACGTGCGGTACTTGCGCAACGCAGGCACCTCGTGCCAAAAGCACAGCAGGCGCGTGCGTTCGGCTCGCAAGCCAAATCACCATTGACGTCGCGGTCGTCGTCAACGTCGTTGTCTCGGCGTCGTCGTCGTCCTCTCGTCCTCGTCGACGTCGTCGTGGTGGGCTGAGCTACGCTCACTACCTTCGCGGCGTCGGCCTGCCCATCACGTTCCAGGCCAGGCGAACCGAAATACATCGCGCCGACCGCACTGTCGAAGCTCAAAATGATGCGAGAATGCCGACAACCGACATTCTCCGCGCTCGCTCCAAGGAGCTCCCGTAGCGAGCAAGCATACAAAAACGCACGGCCGCTTCTCCATGCCAGCCGCAAAGATGATGCTAATAGGCGGGGACGATTACTGAAGGCGGAGCGAACTCACGGCCACCCTGAAATACTGGGAGCCAGAATGGCAACGACAACGGCGCTGGTCGGGAAAGATCGATGGACTCGACGACGACCGCCCTCTGTCTTGCCTCCCCACTCCTTCCCTCCCTCCTCCTCTTCCGACTCGTCCTGTTTCGGCTCCCCCCACAGGTAGCTATAGAAGGACGGAGAAAGAAATAGGAGCAGAGGATATATGTAAAGGCAGATAAACACACGCTTGCACCAAACGACTGTCGGCATGCTTCGCTGGGGTTCCTGTTCGGAGATAGTACTACTACTACTACTACTACTACTACTACTACTACTACTACTACTACTACTACTACTGCTTCTACATCCACTACTACGACGACGACTACTACTACTACTACTACCACCACCACCACCACCACCACCACCACCACCACCACCACCACTACTACTACTACTACTACTACTACTACTACTACAACTACTACTACTACTACTCCTACTACTACTACTACGACGACGACTAGTACAACATCTGCTGCTGCTACTACTACTACTACTACTACTACTACTGCTGCTATGACTGCTACTCCGGTTCGTACTACTACGAGCACTACTACTTCTACGACGACAACTACTTTTACTGCCACTGCTACTAGTAGTGTCGCTGCTACTGCTACTACTACTACTACTACTACTACCACTACTCTTGCTACTGCTACTACTACTAATACTACCCATGCTGCTTCATCTGATACTAGTACTTCTACTAGTCCTCCTCCTCCTCCTCCTCCTACTACTACTACTACTACTACTATTACTACTACTACTACTACTACTACTATTACTACTACTACTACTACTACTACTACTACTACTACTACTACTACTACTACTACAACGACTCCACCTGCGAAAACCCCGATCACCTCGCACGCGGACGGGGTGCCCGAACGCCTCACCTCACAAGAAGGATTGACAAGGAGGCGGGAGGAAGGAGGAACAGGAGAGATATGCGGAGCCCATCGGACACACGCCTGAAAAACACAACTGTCGGCATGCTTCGCGAGAGTTGCTGCTGTGAGATGGGCTGGTGGGGATACGCGAAGCGTAAAGAATTCAAGAGGTAATAGACTTGTGTCTTCAATGTGATTGTGCGGTTTTCGCATGATCACTCTTCCCGCAAAGGGAGTCGGCCCAGGGTTCTCTTTTTAGTTATGATATCAAAGACTGTGTCTTTACTTGTGACGGGCTGGCGAACTTACTTGTCAAACATAACAAATTAAACGTTGAGGATGTCCCGAGCGAAACGCTGGTTTTTGAATTTCTGATCGATACAACACAACAGTGCGGGACACAGATGGGCCAGGTGCACGAATCCGTGCGTTTTCACATGTGTTCCCATATTTTGACCCTCTCCAGGGGCACGAATCATGTTCTTATACATTGGCTCTCTCCAGGAGGCCCCACAAGGGCCCAGGGCAACCAGGAGGGTATCTAACATGGTTGTCCAGAGCTGGATCCACGTGGTTTTACGTGTCCGGGCCACCGAAGGGGGTATCTAACATGATTGCCCCGAACTGGAACCACGTGCTTTTACGTGCCCAGGCCTCCCAGAGGGGTATCTAACATGGCGTCAGGTCCAACGCAGAATTATCAGGAAACGCACGGGGGGCCCAAAAGCGCTACCCGAACACAAATCCCAATCCAACAAAAAAAGCTGATGTATTGCTCTGGGCAGGGGGTTGACGCTTTGGGGGCCTCTCCAGGGAAGCCATTGCGAGGATGTCTCGAGCGGGAGCGCGAATTCAGCGTATCCAGGCCACGCAAGGGGGTATCTAACATGGTTGTTCCGAGCTGGAACCACGTGTTGTTACGTGTCCAGGCCACCCAACGGGGTGTTTAACATGATTGCCCCGAGCAAAGACCACGTGTTTCAACATGTCCAGGCCACTCAGGGGTGTATCTAATATGGTTGTCCCGAGCTGGCACCGCGTGTCTCTACGTGTCCACGCCACCCATGAGGGTATCGAACATGGCTGTCCCGAGAAAGGACCACGTGTTTTAACGTGTCCAGGCCACCCAGGGGTGTATCTAACATGGTTGCCCAGAGCTGGATCCACGTGGTTTTACGTGTCCAGGCCATCCAAAGGGGGTATCTAACATGATTGCCCAGAACTGGGACCATGTGTTTTTACGTGTCCAGGCCGCCCAGAGGGGTATCTAACTTGGCGTCAGGTCCAACGCCGAAGTATCAGGAAACGCACGGGGCGCCGAAAAGCGCTACGCGAACACGTATCCCAAACGCGTTCTTGCTCAGGACAGGGGGTGGCGTTCTGGGAGGCCTGTCCAAGGAAGCCATTGCGAGGATGTGTCGAGCGGGAGCGCGAATTCAGCGTATCCAGGCCACGCAAAGGGGTTTCTAACATGGTTGCCCCGAGCTGGAACCACGTGTTGTTACGTGTCCAGGCCACCCAGGGGATATCTAACATGGTTGCCCGCCCCTGGGCTGGGGAAGCGTGAAAACGCATGGGTCCCTAACGCCCCATGGCGGGAGAAGTGTGAAACACATGGGTGCCTAACGACCTGGGGCGGAACACGCGTGAAAAAGAATAGGTTCCTAACGCCCATGGGCGGGGCAAGCGTGAAAACGAATTGGTTCCTAACGCCCCATGGCGGGCGTGGGTTCCTAACGCTCCGGGGCGGGAGAAACGTGAAAACACATTGGTTCCTAACGCCCAAGGGCGGGACAAGCGCGAAAACATATGGGTTCCTAACACCCCTGGGCGGGAAAAATGCAAAAACACATAGGGTCCAAACGCTCCAAAAAACCCCAGGAGGCCCCAGGAGGCATCAGGAAGCACCAGGAGGCACCAGGAGGCATGGCACATCGCAGTTGGCACGTTCTGTAGCGCGCCCCCTTGGCACGTCCCGCGGCGCGTCCTCACGGCACGCCCCCAGGGACGTCGCCTGGCGCGTCCATTGGAACGTTCCGCGGCGCGTCCTCCTGGCATGTCCCCCTGTCAACTAGCTCTGGGGCAGCTACTATGTACCCAGGCAGCTCGAGCTTTAGATCCAGATCAGTTCGGTCAGGACTCGGATGCAAAGGGGCATTCGATCCACCACGCTATAGAGCACAATCGCGGCATGGCACATCGCAGTTCAGCACGGCGCAACACAGCACTGCCCTCGGCACGGTGCAACAAGAACGATACATTCAGCACCGGTTTTGCCCGTCGCCCATCAGGTGTTCTTGAAGCGTTGCCATGCGCTACATGACTATATTATTTTCCTGGTTCGTACGGTCGACCACATTTCGGGCGTAGCCCGAGGTTGTTTGTGGCGAGGTAACTGACTGAACTGACTGAGCTGACTTGACTGTCTGGTCGCACCTGTTCGGAAGACGTTTTATGCTCGGCGGCCGAGGGAGCAACCAATGGCGCAACCAATCGGGGGACGCTTTATTTTCGGCGGCGGAGGGCGCAACGTATGGCGCAACCAACAGGATGCCAGGTTATTCTCGGCGGCCGGGGGCGCAACCTATGACGTATGACGCAGCCAATAAGAGGACGTTTTATTCCCAGCGGCCGAGGCGCAACCTGTCGCGCAACCAATGGGAGGCCGTGTTTTTTCTCGGCGGCCGAAGGCGCAACCCATGACGCAGCGAACAGGAGGACGTTTTATTCTCGGCGGCCGAAGCGCAACCTGTGGCGCAACCAATGGGCGGCCGTGCTCTTTCGCGGCGGCCGGGGGCGCCACCAACTGGCGCAACCAGTGGCTGAGCGCCCACTTTGGGGCGCATCCGATGGGCGGCCGCTTCACTCTCGACGGGCGAGCGCGCGACCTGTGGCGCACCTATATCGGGCGGGGAGGAACGCACGAAACGCTGTACTGGGTGTGCGGGACGCATGCGGACGGTAGCACTGGGACCTTCGGTGGGGTTCCCTATGGGGCCACGAAGCGCTGTACTGGGTGTGCGGGACGCATGCGGACGGTAGCACTGGGACCTTCGGTGGGGTTCCCTATGGGGCCACGAAGCGCTGTACTGGGTGGGTGAAACGCAGGGAGGAGGAAGAGGAGGGCCACGAAACGCTGTACTGGTTGTGCGGGACGCATGCGGACGGTAGCACTGGGGCCTTCAGTGGAGCTCCCTACGGGGCCACGAAACGCTGTACTGGGTGTGCGGGACGCATGCGGACGGTAGCACTGGGACCTTCGGTGGGGTTCCCTATGGGGCCACGAAACGCTGTACTGGGTGTGCGGGACGCATGCGGACGGTAGCACTGGGACCTTCGGTGGGGTTCCCCATGGGGCCACGAAGCGCTGTACTGGGTGGAAAACGCAGGAAGAGGAAGACGAGGGCCACGAAACGCTGTACTGGGCGTGCGGGACGCATGCGGACAGTAGCACTGGGACCTTCGGTGGAGCTCGTTATGGGGCCACGAAACGCTGTACCGGGTGTGCGGACGCATGCGGACGGTAGCACTGGGACCTTCGGTGGGGCTCCCTATGGAGCCACGAAGCGCTGCACTGGGTGTGCGGGACGCATGCGGACGGTAGGGAGGAGGGGGAAGAGGAGGAGAAGGAGGAACGCATGGACCGCTTCTTCAAAACGAGGACCCAACACCACAGGATGGTTTGGAATTTCCCTTCGGTTCTTGACGGATTCAAGCGTTTTCGCATTTTCAATTTCCTAACGCCCCAAGGCGACCCAAGAGGCTCCCAAGATCGTCCCAAGACGACCCCCGCAGGCGTCCAACAGGGCCCCAAAACGGCCCAAAAGGGCAAGACGGCCCAAGACGCGCCAAAGACGGCCGAAACACGGCCCGAAGACGGAAGGGGGCCCAGATGGGGAATCCGACTTGATATTTCGAACCATAGCCCCCGAAGGGCCCCAAAGAGGCCCCCGGAAACTCCCAAGAGGCCCCCAAGAGGCCCCCAAGAGGCTCCCGAGAGACCCCAAGACTGCCCTCCAAGAGGCCCCCGAGAACGCCCCGCAAACACCCCAAGAAACATCCATGATATTTCCGACCCGCAACTCAGGCACGGTGGCGGGATGGACCGACGGCCATCAGATACTTCTAGGGTTCAGCCCAAATACATACAACCCTAGTAGGGCTGCATGTAGCTCTAATCGGGTCCTACTCGGGTTCGATCCAGATCTACTAGAATATCATGCTGTTTGAATCCAGCTCTAAAAAAATGTCACGCTGGATCGATCCAGCTCTACAAAAACCCCATTGAGGTTGGATTTGGCCTCAATCGAACTCTTAAGCCGAATCCTACGAGACCTGGATCCAATTCGAAAAGGATCGCTTGAAGGCCCCAACCAACTTTGCCACCGCCCTTCTAGGGGTCGATCAAGCTATCTGAAAATCCGACCACGGTTCGAAGCAGCTCTGATGGAATCCCATAAGGACTCGGTTCAGCTCTGGCAATATCCTACTTGCGCTGGACCCAGCTCTAACCGAATCCGACCGAAGCTCGACCCAGCTCGAATGAAATCCGCCGACCCCTTGGGGTTCATCGGCCCGCGGGATGCTTCCCCCCCCCAAACCCCTCCCCCGGGAGCCGGGCCCGGTCGATTTGGAGGGGGGGGTCCGGCCGGATCCGCCGGGGGGGTCATCCGCTCCAAGAAATCTTGCAGAGACTCCTCCGTGGCCTCGAAATGGTCCCACGACGCCACTCGACGGCCCAAAATGACCTCCACGTGGATTCTGGTGCCCCCAAGATGCCCAGGCTCAAGACCGCCCGCGATGCTTTCAAGATGCTCCAAGAGGCCTCGAAGAGGCACCCCAAGAAGGCCTTGAAGAAGCCCAAATCAAATTTCCAGCGGGAAAACGTATATTTTTACCATGCACGACGTTTCGGCCTCCACGGCGGCGAAGCCAGTCCAAGAGGCTCCCAAGACCACCCCAATACGTCCGAAGAGGCTCCCAATAAGCGCCGAGGGCGGCCCAAGCGGGCGCCGAGACAGACCAAGAGGCCCCCAAAACGGCCGGACAGGGCCCCAAGACGGCTCCCAGAGAAGCCCAAGCGGGGTAGCCCGCACCGAAAATCAAAGCCTTCCGCTCCCAGACGCCTCCAAGACACCCCCAGAGGCGCCCGAAAGGGCCCCAGAGGCTGCCAAGACGCACCCAAAAAAAAACCCAAAAAGCCCCGAAGAAGCACACAGCAGGCCCCAAGGGCCCCCAAAACTGCCCTCAGGAGGCTTCGAGACTACCGCCAGGAGGCCTGCGAGAAGTTTCCCCGTGATCCAAGCGGACGCCGCGCAAGCCTCATGCCCGCAACCCAGGCCCAGCGGTCAGACTCCTCGCAACTTCCCCCTTGCCGCCGCGCTCGTCGCTTGTCTCCGCAGGGCGTTTCGGCGGTTCTCTCCGCAGCACCCGCCCAGCCTTCTGGATTGCCCCGCTTGAAAAAATATCCCGGCAAAGCAACCTAACAGCGATGTGTAGAAGCATATATGAAAACATTCCCCTTAAGATTCAGATGAGAATCCAATTGTAGAATTCTGCTGTTCTCGCAGTCGTAGTCGCATTCGCGATGACAGTCGCAGCGGCAACGGCAGTCGCAGTCACAGCCTCAGCCTCAGCCTGCCTCAGCCTCAGCCTCAGCCTGCCTCAGCCTCCTCAGCCTCAGCCTGCTTCAGCCTCAGCCTCAGTCTGCCTCAGCCTCGGCCTCAGCCTCAGCCTGCCTCAGCCTCAGCCTGCCTTCAGCCTCAGCCTCAGCCTCAGCCTCAGCCTCAGCCTCGGCCTCAGCCTCAGCCTCAGCCTCAGCCTGCCTCAGCATTCAAAATGTGGCACAGGAATGGAGGGAACAAGCACGAAGTGGCCTACAGTTGGCTCCAGGCATTCAAAATCATGCCCAGGATGGAGTTCTGGGAACTGAAGACACGAAGTGGCCTACAGTTGGCTCCGGGCATTCAAAATCGGCCCGGGAATGGAGTTCTGGGAACTCGAAGAGCACGAAGTGGCCTACAGTTGGCTCCGGGCATTCAAAATGTGGCCCGGGAATGGAGTTCTGGGAACTCGAAGAGCACGAAGTGGCCTACAGTTGGCTCCGGGCATTCAAAATGTGGCCCGGGAATGGAGTTCTGGGAAATCGAAGAACACGAAGTGGCCTACAGTTGGCTCCGGGCATCCAAAATGTGGCCCGGGAATGGAGTTCTGGGAAGTCGAAGAGCACGAAGTGGCCTACAGTTGGCTCCGGGCATTCAGAATGTGGCCCGGGAATGGAGTTCTGGGAGGTCGAAGAGCACGAAGTGTGTGACTGTTTGCTTAAAACGACTTCTGCGGCACCCTGTCCGGCACCCGCCCAGACCCCCCTGTGGAGTCATCTGCTGCTCTCTTTTGACACCACTAGAAACCTATCAGAACAAGCTGTTAGGTAATATTCCTCTGGTCCTTCGACAGATGGCCCCCGTCTGTGAACGCGGGCTTGGGCCCGTCCTCTTTCGGGGGACACGCAGAGCATTCAAACTTATTCGTCACCCTGCGCGCGTCGCGGCACGCCCGCCCCCCGCTGGCCTATGGTGGATGCCCGTCTGGTGGTGCTTCTTGATCTGGTCTGACGTCAGATGTCCCGCGTCCTCGAACTCTCGGCCGCTCCCGTCCGCTCACGGGCGTTGGGATCCCGCGCGCGTTCACGGCTGTCTCGCGCTGGGGCGGTAGGAACCCACGCGTTCCCACGCATGTCCCGCTCTTGGACGTGAGGGACCATCTGTTGTCACGCCTTTTCCCGCTCTGGGGCGTTCGGAACCCACGCGTCTTCGGGGCAACCCACAGCGCCCCCCAGACGCCCCCCCGAGCCCCCAGATTCCCCCCCAGAACCCAACGAAGCAACAATTTCCGAATCCCTTTGGGCCGACGTGGAGGCCCCAAGAAGGCCCCCAGAAAACACCAAGAGCCAACCAAAAGGACCCGAAAAGGCACCCTAGAAGGCCTCATAAGCAAAACGTGAGTTCCACATGGGGCCGGCGGCGTGGCGTAAGCCTCAGAATTCTTTGGCGGCGCTCGTGTTCGAATTCCCCTGCTCATCCACGCCGCCGAGCTCCTTGTGGTAGCGCGCGGCGTGGGAGCATCTTCCTGCGCATGGGGGGCGTCGGAAACGCTCTCGCTGCGCAGGGAGCGCCAACGCCAAAGGCGCGGTGGTTTTCTCGGAAAGTGCTCCGAAGGTGCACTGGTCGCACGCGATGGTGTCGACATTGGGCTGAGCTGTTAGGCGGGCGGTCTCTGGCAGCCGCCAGCTGCTGGGCATGCGCTGCCCCCGCGGTTCGGCAGGATGTTCTAGGAGCCCAGGTATGTCGTGCGCCGCGCAGGCGTAGAGGAACTCGAGCTGTGTCCGATGGGAGCGAATGCCCAGGCGGACTTGCTCGGCCTCGGTCCTTCGGAGGTGCGGAAGGCCCCGCGATCGGGTCCCCGAGCGGAGAGGCCGCTCCAGCCTGCCTCTGCACCTGTTAGGTGATTGGTGGCGCGCGCGCGACCATGCCTCGCAGGGCGGCCCTCCTAGCACCGGTGCGATGCGTCCAGCTTGGGGCACTCGCCTCCACTTAGCCACCGAGGCCATGTTGGTCAAGTCGCCGAATGTCGCGTCGTTGGTCACGTCGATCGATTGCACGAAGATTGAACGGCTGCTGGCTGCAGAGAGCTGTTCGCGCCTATGCTGGATGTCCGACAGCAGCCGTCGCCCGCTGAAGAGATGCCGGATGTTCATGGCGCATGCCCGCGGTGGGCGCGGGGCCTGAGCGACAGGCGGTGGTGGGTCGTGGTGGGGCGGGATGCCCATGCTGACATTATCGTCCGAGGGGTCGCTGTGGTCGTCAAGCTCTGGTGGTTGGGCTTGCAGGAATGGTCGCTCGGCCCAGTCGCTGGGCCGTCCTGCCCGTCGATTCCGCTGCTGCTGCTGTCGGAGCGCCTGCTGGTTGATCTCGCGCTGGGAAGTGGCACTGGAAGCCTTCTGCGCACGTGGGCGGCGCAGTGTTTGACCTTCAGGAGGTTCTTAACGATGCGGCTGGTGGCGCGGAAGTCGCGCGTTGGCGCGGCACCGAGTGACGCGAGCTCGAAGCCGCTGCTCGGTGGGTTCGGCGCGCCCGCACTCGTAGCACGCGTAGGTCGCACTGGGCTGCGGCGCTTGTCCGCCGAATGCTGGGATGGCGCGGGCGGGGGCCCGGGCGGCAAGTCGCTTCTGCCAGCGCGCGAGGTGGTCGTCGTGGCATGCTGCTAGTTGCGCGCGGTGGAGCGTCTTCTTGACGCGGCTGGCGAACTGCACGCGATCGGTGCGGGCCCAGTCCTTCCATTCGGCAATCGAGAGCTGGCTGGCTGGTTCGCCAGGGTCCGCGCGTTCGCAGAACCATGAGAAATTGCACCCGCCCAGCCGCCCTGGGCCCCCCACGCTTCAGCTAGAAGCCTCCGCAAGTAGATGGGCCCATGGTTGACTACTCTCGCGAAGATGCGGAGACGCTCCAGGGTCAAGTAGGCCTCGCTAGTGGGCCGATCAACCCCCTCCAGGACCCGGCAATTGCTCACCAAGTTGTCACGCTTCTGCCTCCACGTTATACCCTGGGCGGCCGCGTAATCGGCGACGCACTGGGCCTCGAACTCGCGGGCATCGGAAGGGCCAAGAAGCGGGCAGGCGCCCGAGTTGTAGGCCAATTGGGAGAGCAGAGCATGACCGAGTCCGGGAGGGCAGCATCATCGTGGGCCGCGCGCTGCTTCCGCATGTGCACCTCGTGGCGGAGTGGGAGTGTCGTTGCTGCGGCCTCGGTGACCTCGTGGACGACGCCGACCCCTGGTGAGCTATCGTCGGTCACCATCGTGCCGCGGAAGCGGCGCTGCCTGACGAGCTCGACGAAGCTGTCGGCCATTGGCACCTGGATGCGCATGGACTCCCGCCGGTGGAAGGCCCCCTTGTGGACCTCATGGCCGGGCCCGCGGAAGCTGCGCAAGTTCGCCGGGCACCCCGCCCACCCGTAGCTGGGCTGCGCAAGCAACCACAGCATTGGGCGCGCGCCGAAGCCCGCGCCACGCCACGCGGCGCGGGCGCCGCGCCGAGAGGGCGCAGGCACCCGAGGAGGCCCAGGCGAGCGCGCGTCAAAGGGGCCCCCCCCCAAGAGAAAAGCCAGGGGTGGCGCGGCGCTCGCGCGGCCGCGGAGCCGCCGCGGGACAGCCTCCCCGAAGCGAGAGAGGACCCCGAAGACACCGCCCTCGCGGAGAAGGGCACCGGCGCAGCGACGGCGAAGCGTCGAGGCAGCTGGAGGAAAGGACAAGGAGCGGGGACGGGGAGGGGGCGGTTGGATGAGGAGGGGAAGTAAGGGGCGGCAGAGCAGCAGAGCCGCGCGGACGTGGACAGTGCCCAACTCAATAACGCGCGCTCGCAGGGCGCAGCTTGCCGCGCGGCGCTGAATGCCGCGCCGTGAGCGAACTGAACATATGGGCGGGGGCGAGGCGCTTCGCCGCCTGCTGCGGCGTGGCAAGACAGAAAAACTGCGGCGCTACGCTGCGCCGCGCAACCGGGCGACCGCGGCGAGTGAAAGCTGGCCGCGTCGGACGAAGGGGGAGGCAGCGCATGCCCCCAGGCGCAACGAACGAGGGTATTGCCACCGCAATGGAATAGCCACAAACACGCGCACGCCCGCGGCAAAAGACGGGCCCACGCGTCGAAACAAAGATATCCCCACGCAGCGCAGCGCGATTGCAAAGCAGAAAACACGCACGCGCGCCTACGCGAAACCGCCGCCACGCAGCGCAGAGCGACTGCGAGGCAGAACGAGGGCGCGTCGCAACAAAAATGCCGCGGCGCTGCGCAGCACGACTGCGAAGCAGACAAAATACGTCGAAACGACGATGCCGCCACAGCGCAGAATGACTGTGAAGCCGAAGCACAAGTGTCAAACATATACGAAGTTCCAATGCACAGTACGCTGAATACGCAGCCCGCTACATCACGAGGGCGGCGGGCGCGAGCATCAGTAAGCCGAAGGTGTCCTGACCGATAACAATCGCGATCCAGAGCTTCGCTGCGGACGCGCCCCCGAGGCCCGCGGACCCCCCGCCCGGCCGCACTCCCAGCCAAATCCCGGTCGCCGCCGGGCAATATCCCAACCCAATCCCCGCCGCGGCCCCGCCGCGGCCCCGCCGCCGCCCAGCCGCGGCCCAGCCGCCGCCCAGCCGCCGCCCCCAGGAAATTATCCCGGCAAAAAGCAACCTAACAGCGATGTGTAGGAGCATATCTGGAAGCATTCCCCTTAAGATTCAGATGAGAATCCAGTTGTAGAATTCTGCTGTTCTCGCAGTCGTAGTCGCATTCGCGATGACAGTCGCAGTGGCAACGGCAGTCACAGTCACACAGCCTCAGCCTCAGCCTCAGCCTCAGCCTGCCTCAGCCTCAGCCTCAGCCTGCTTCAGCCTCAGCTTCAGTCTGCCTTCAGCCTCGGCCTCAGCCTCAGCCTGCCTCAGCCTCAGCCTGCATCAGCCTCAGCCTCAGCCTCAGCCTGCCTCAGCATCAGCCTGCCTCAGCCTCAGCCTCAGCCTGCCTCAGCCTCAGCCTCAGCCTGCTTCAGCCTCAGCCTCAGTCTGCCTTCAGCCTCGGCCTCAGCCTCAGCCTGCCTCATCCTCAGCCTGCCTCAGCCTCAGCATCAGCCTGCCTCAGCATTCAAAATGTGGCCCGGGAATGGAGTTCTGGGAACTCGAAGAACACGAAGTGGCCTACAGTTGGCTCCGGGCATTCAAAATCATGCCCAGGAATGGAGTTCTGGGAACTCGAAGACCACGAAGTGGTCTACAGTTGGCTCGGGCATCCAAAATGTGGCCCTGGAGTTCTGGGACTCCACGAAGTGGCCTACAGTTGGCTCCGGGCATCCAAAATGTGGCCCGGGAATGGAGTTCTGGGAACTCGAAGAGCACGAAGTGGCCTACAGTTGGCTCCGGGCATTCAAAATGTGGCCCGGGAATGGAGTTCTGGGGACTCGAAGACCACGAAGTGGCCTACAGTTGGCTCCGGGCATTCAAAATGTGGCCCGGGAATGGAGTTCTGGGAACTCGAAGAGCACGAAGTGGCCTACAGTTGGCTCCGGGCATTCAGAATGTGGCCCGGGAATGGAGTTCTGGGAGGTCGAAGAGCACGAAGTGTGTGACTGTTGGCTTAAAACGACTTCTGCGGCACCCTGTCCGGCACCCGCCCAGACCCCCCTGTGGAGTCATCTGCTGCTCTCTTTTGACCCCACTAGAAACCTATCAGAACAAGCTGTTAGGTAAATTATCCCGGCAAAGCAACCTAACAGCGATATGTAGAAGCATATCTGAAAGCATTCCCCTTAAGATTCAAATGAAAATCCAGTTGTAGAATTCTGCTGTTCTCGCAGTCGTAGTCGCATTCGCGATGACAGTCGCAGCGGCAACGGCAGTCGCAGTCACAGCCTCAGCCTCAGCCTGCCTCAGCCTCAGCCTCAGCCTGCCTCAGCCTCAGCCTGCCTCAGCCTCAGCCTCAGCCTGCTTCAGCCTCAGCCTCAGTCTGCCTTCAGCCTCGGCCTCAGCCTCAGCCTGCCTCAGCCTCAGCCTGCATCAGCCTCAGCCTCAGCCTCAGCCTGCCTCAGCATCAGCCTGCTCAGCCTCAGCCTCAGCCTGCCTCAGCCTCAGCCTCAGTCTGCTTCAGCCTCAGCCTCAGTCTGCCTTCAGCCTCGGCCTCAGCCTCAGCCTGCCTCAGCCTCAGCCTGCCTCGGCCGCAGCATCAGCCTGCCTCAGCATTCAAAATGTGGCCCAGGAATGGAGTTCTGGGAACTAGAAGAACACGAAGTGGCCTACAGTTGGCTCCGGGCATTCAAAATCATGCCCAGGAATGGAGTTCTGGGAACTTGAAGAGCACGAAGTGGCCTACAGTTGGCTCCGGGCATCCAAAATGTGGCCCGGGAATGGAGTTCTGGGAAATCGAAGAGCACGAAGTGGCCTACAGTTGGCTCCGGGCATCCAAAATGTGGCCCGGGAATGGAGTTCTGGGAAGTCGAAGAGCACGAAGTGGCCTACAGTTGGCTCCGGGCATTCAGAATGTGGCCCGGGAATGGAGTTCTGGGAGGTCGAAGAGCACGAAGTGTGTGACTGTTGGCTTAAAACGACTTCTGCGGCACCCTGTCCGGCACCCGCCCAGACCCCCCTGTGGAGTCATTTGCTGCTCTCTTTTGAGACCACTAGAAACCTATCAGAACAAGCTGTTAGGTAAAAAACTGCCACCCCTCTAAAAAAAAGCCGCCGCCAGCAAAATCCCAACCGAATCCCCGCCGCGGCCCTGCCGCGGCCCCGCCGCCGCCCAGCCGCCGCCACGCCGCCGCCGCGCCGCGCCCCAGCCACGCGCCCTCTCCCCGGGGGGCCCAACTTGGCCCCATGGACCTCGCAGGCAGGAGGGGTGCGATGGGAAACAAGAGGAACGCGACGGAGGAGCATGGCTGCAGGAAAGGGAAGGAAGACCGCCCAGAGCGAAGGGCGGGAGGAACGGCAAGGATCGCGAGAAGGGAATGCGGGAAGGCGACGAGGGAAGGAAGGAGGATGAGAGAGGCTGAAGGAGGACGGACGAGGGAGACTAGAGGGAAGACAACGACAACGCAAGACAGGAAGAGGACAGGAGGAGGAACCACCGATGAGGATTAAGAAAGGAAATTACCCCAGTGCGACCCGACCTAGAAGTTGGAGCCCCTAGGAAAGCAGCATGAGTTGCTATGTTATGCTATGATATGCCATGCTATGCTGCGCTGTGCTATGCGATGATATGCTATACGATGCTGCGCTATAATGAGTTGCTATGATATGCGATGTTAAGCTGTGGTATGTCATGCTGCGCTGTGCTATGCGAAGCTATGATATGACATGATATGGTATGCGAAGCTGCGCGATGCGATGCTATGATATGATATGATGTGTTATGCTATGCTGCGCTATTGTATGCGGTGCTATGATTGGCTCTGTTATGCTATGCTATGCTATGCTAATGCAGCGCTGCGCAATGCTAAGCTAAGCTAAGCTACGCTAAGTTAAGCTAAACGAACCCTCTAGGCAGAGCCTAGACAGGGAATTACACCCATGCTAGCTCGGCGTCTGTCGCAAATTGCTTGTGTTGTGCCTTTCCTGTGCTTTGCTTTTGTTGTTGCTGTGCTCTGTGTTGCGTTGCTTGTGCTTTGGTTTGCTGTCGCTGCTGTTGATGTCCCTTTGCTTGGCTGCTGTGCTATGCGATGTTATGCGATGCTATGCTATGTTATGCTGCGCTGTGCTATACTGTGCTGTGATGTGCTGTGCTATGTTATGCAATGCTATGATATGCTGCGCTATGCTATGCTATGCTGGGCTATGCTATGGTATGCTGCGGTGCGCTATGATATGCTACGGTATACTATGCTCTGCTGTGCTTTGCTATGCTAAAGCTCAGCGAAGCTAAGATGAAGGTAAGCTAAGCTAAGATAAACAGGAGCTAAGATGAAGCTAAGCTAATATGAAATAAGCTAAGCTAAGATGACATAAGCAACGCTATGCCAATGGGACGTAGCTGGGGGAACCGCGGGGCGGATGCCGGGGGAACCGCCCGGGGCGGGGCCCACTGCCCGGCCCCTTTT